AATCCCAGGTGTCAGGACAGGGGGCTACAGGCTTGGGAGGCAGCACTGCAGAGAAGGATCTGGGAATCCTCAGGGACACAAGACTGACCATGATCCAGAGATGTGTCCTTGAGACCAAAGACAGTAACCAGCCTCCTGGGCTGCATTAGACACCGCACAGGCTGAGCGGAGGAATTCTCCAGCACTGGTGGGTCCAGCATTTGTAATGCTGGGTCCAGCTCTGGGCTCCTCAGGGGTACTGGAGTGAGTCCTACAACTGGCCATGAAAGTGATGAAGGGACTGGAGCATCTGAGAAGAGGTTGAGAGATCTGGGACTGCTTAGATTAGAGAAGAAAATTTTAGGGGAAACTCATCCATGTGTAGAATGCCTGGTAGAAGAGAAGGAGGAAGAGAGTGCCAGATTCTGTTCAGTGGTGCCCAGAAACAGGACAAAAGACAATGGGCATGAACTGATTACACATGAAAATACACCTGAGCGCAAGAAAATACTTCTCTTACCATGAAGATGACCAAACACAAGAATAGGTTGTCCAAAGAGATACTCAAAACCCAACTGGATGCAGTCCTGAGCATGTTGCTGTTGCTTGAGCAAGGGTCTGACAAGAAAATCTCCAGAAGTGCCCTTTCAGCCTCAGTGAGTATATGATCCTTCATCTGATTTTTTCTGAAATTTCATCTTTTTGGTACCTTGTCAAGAAAAAGTAATGGATGTTTCCACACCACCTTACTAATTGCAGAATTTCTCCTCCAGTTATGATATAAGGATCTAACAGAAGAGAGTTTAATTTTTCAAGGCCGCTACCTTGCAAGCTGTTAAGCATCTTTGTTTTGTATGAAAGACAACATTAATTCAATCTGAAGTTTACTTTAACGAGTTTACTTTAAGGTGTTTATTCCATACTTTCTTAAGTAAATCACTACATTGGAGATTCCAGACTTCCTCTAAAGGTAGTGAAGCTTTATGTAAATGCCATGAGATCTGACTCTGGGAGTTCTGGACACCTCATGCTCCCAGTGGCAGCCCTGCAGCAAGACCATGTGATTTTACTGTGCCCTAGCCTACATTCTTCAGGAGATGTCCTTCTTCAGGACATGTCCTTCAGGAGATGTCCTTCCAGGTCTGCTTGAAGTTGGCTTAGGGTGACAAGATGGCAGTAGGTCCCACCTGTTGCTGAGTCTACGTGTTCTACCTTTACTACCATGACATTGATACCTAAGATTTCATGATATTTAACAAAAAAGGGAAGTCGGGGGTCAGGGGGTTGTGGGGAGGGTGGTAATGAAGAATTCAGGTATAGAAATGTTCTGCAGAAACACAAAAACATAAATGCAGAAGGCAGCACAAATTATCTTCACTCTACCCAATAAGTTGAGTGTAAGTATGGATGTGCTTTTTAATTCTTTCACATTTTCTGTAAGCCTAGTGTCCTTCAAATTAAACAGGTGTGAGATTTTTAAGTATGAGATCTGAAGACATTGCTATCAGCATGTGAGGAAAAATACAAAGCACTCTGATCTGAAGTAATTGGAAACCGTCTACCTGACTGTAAAGGAAATGTGAAAAACACCAAATTTGAAAAACTTTTATGATACCCTAGAAAATAAGATGCACGTGTTATAGCTTGTTTATGAAGTACTGGGTAAAATAATCTCTTTTACATAACCTGTATTTATTTCATGTTGTTTGTTTAGACTTGACCTTCAATGCTGGTCTACTCTCATCTACAAAGTCTACTGAAATCATTAGAGATAGGTCCATACTAAGATTTGAAAGCTCTTCTCATCCAGATGGTTTAATTGGACAAAATACTGTGCACTTTATCTCCACATTTAATCCCTTACTTCAATCCCATGGGAGAAATGCAAATTCCAGAGGACAGAAGGCAGCAGCAGCAGGGCACCCTGGAAGTGTTCCAGCATGGGTGTTTGAGGTGCCCACAAAGCCACTTAAATCCTTCCTCTACTTCAGCAACTCAGCTTTGGACAGCGCACTCACTTTCTTAACTACTGTTAAAAACACTTCAGATAATTTGAACAGGTACAGCTGGGAGCAAAGATCTAGTACTGTTTGAACTCATGGAAAAGAGAATGGCTTCATAAGTCCTTCTTAGCAAGACATGGTCACTCCAACACCTGGTGTGACCTAACTCACCAAATCAATGATCTATATTTGCTGCCACTTTTCCTGCCTGAAAAGTTTACAGTGGCAGAATGACCATCTAAGGCTTCAGATGAGCCTTTAAGAAATTAGTTTAGGATTTCCTGTAACATAAGCAAGTTATAAAGCAGAGAGAGGCACTAGTACTTGGATTCAAAATGCATGAAACCACTACTTTTCCTGCTGATCCTACTCACATTTTTGTCTGCCTTTCCCATTTTCACCACAGAGCTCTCCAAAAAGTCATTAGAGATTGGCAGCTCTCCTTGCTTATGTGGCCAACTTCCTCCATAAAATCAGTTATTTAACTGTCCTCTCTAGATAAAGATATGTTGGGGCACAGAGGAAAATTCTTGGTTTTAACAGAACACTAAAAATATGGAGTGTAATTCACCTTTACAATTTGATAACTACTATTGAGTCTCAGGAAATAGAGCTGGTGCCAGGGCAGTAGAGATGCAGGGCCCATGGTTATCAGCAAGCCTCTCTGTGAGGTATTGACAGAAGAACAATACCTCTCAGACAAAGCTATTATATCAAACTCCAATATCAAATCTGAATATCTTCACTTTTCAAGGCAAGGGAGATTAAGAGCTGACATTTCAAGACCAAGTCAGAGAACCTACTGATTAAACACTAATCCAAAATGTCCTTTCTCTGCCACAGTCAAGGAGGAGAGCAAGCTATATTAAGGGTATAATTCTGTTGATTGATATCAACCAACATAATTGCATATTTCTCAAGGTTATGACATATGAATTTGCAGTGAAACATAGAAGTCTAGTTTTGGTGTGTTCCAACATGAGAACAGAAAATACTACATACTCTGTTCAAGTAATAGCTAGTTAGCTTTGTATGTGTATGTTCTCACGAATTTTATTCTTGAAATAAATCACCCAATCACAGATGTGCTCAAAGAAACACTGAAAAGATATTTTTTACCACTGTTAGGCTGATAAGACTAGTAATATCTCTTTTTTCTTTAGGGTTGGATGCAGCCTTCCTTTGATGTAAGAGTATCTTCTGGCAGATGACTTGAATGACTAATTCATTCACCATAACTAAGTTCTGAAATTGTTATGGTCAGCACTCAAATAACAGAAACCCAGGGATTGATCAATCTGTGCAAATAGTAAAATTTTGAAAACCAGATGCTGTCTTCACATTCACACACTTGTCTGTTTTAATGTTTTAAGAGAGGAATAGAGATTTGTTGCAAAATAGGTGCTACTTCAGTGCAGAGCTGTCTCCTGCATTGCCTTTTAGCAAAACGCTTGGCCAGAACCTTACATTATTTGGGGACCCAGAAGACACCAATTACTGTAAAACTAAGCAGAGATGAGAAAAATACCAGTTCAAGATATTTGAACTGTCCCTTGCAGAAACTCTCTGGAGTATCATTCCCTTACAGAATAATCCTTTCTGTGGTTTTGTTCAAATCATATCACTTATATTTTACAAAAAAAGATGATCTTCTCTGATCTCAGCTTAAAACAGAAACCATGGCAATACCTAAATGTTTGAAATATTGCCCCTGAAGGCTATGTCCATGATTTCTTGTTCTTATTGCATCTCTACTGAAGGAGTGATTTCCCAGAGCACAGTGATTTGGTTGAGCTCCCTCCTTGTCATTAGAGTGTTTACATCCTAATCACTTACTTTTCTGTTGGGTGTGTCAAGCACTGAGTTTTGAGAATGGCAGAATGGGAGTGTAAAACCACACAAACACTCCACTCACCCATTCTTGTTCCTGTTGTTTGGGGCTTTTATTTTTCTTTTCTCTTCGACTTTATATCAACAAATTCAGAATCTACCAGACCAGCCAGTTAGAAACATGGGTACTTAAATAACACACACCACATTTTATACCACGTCAGTTGCCTGCCTCTGTGTTTATTTTTACTGCAAGCAATTAGTGAGTAAATTACTGAAAGAATTTTCAGATTAAGAATTGAAGCCAGATTTAAATCCTTTACAGGAAAAGTCCCTGATCAGAAGACTTCACAGCTTCTTGCTGACATTTTCTTGCTGGTGAGTATGAAGCAACCACACAACTGGACCTGCCTGGGGTAGTGCAGCAGTGAGATCACTTCTTTTCAATTTTTATGGCTTTTTTGGAGCTGAATTTTATTTCCCTGCTCCAAAGATACAAAGACACATGGAACCCATTCCTGTACACTGGACATGTGTTCGATTCCACATATCCAACAGCTTTGACTTAAAATTGTGCAGAAGTGTGATGTACATCAAAGATATTTGTAAAGGGCTGCTGGGCACGAGAAGAACCCCAGACCCATTTGGCCCTAGAGCAGGAGATAAGGGGAGATAACTGAGGGCCTCAATTGGCATCAGATCCCTTTGTACAAAGAAACAAGTCAAGACTCCTAGATCTCTCCTACATCTATGTAGGGACACCTAAAGTCAGGAGATTAATTAAATATTTATAGATGGAATGTCATTGGTCCAGCAAATCAGTTTGGTCTTCAGTGTAATTTTTTTAAATGCATTCATAAGAACAGGAAATAAATTTTATAAAAATACTATTTTGTTAATGCCACCTCCCCATGACACTACAGAGCCCACTATTAGCTCTATTACCAAATTCTTCTAGCCTTCTTGGTGGAAAAGGGAAACTGAAAATAATGCTATCCCAATTAGATCCTTCTGCTTCTTGCAAATTGTGATTGATAAATTCTGGTGTCAAGTCCCTGAGGGCTAAATAGCTCTGTTTGCAAAAATCTCTTTAAGCTGCTGCTGCCTTACCCTCTCATTCCCACCTGTGCTTAGTGTAATTTATACAGGCCCAACTAATGATTGCACTGACCTGGGGAAGGTCACAAAGTGCTGCAGAAATTAGAAACAGAAAGGATCATGTCTTAAACAGGTTTTACTAAAGACTGTTTCCATGCACACCTCTGCCCTGAGAGCTTGGGTTCTTATTGAGCTGAAAATGAAATTACCCCAGTTTCTTTGAACTCTTCTCAGATCTCAGCTGGTTTGGGAAGGGTGACACCTGTTACTCTGCTTTTGCACCAGCATGAGATTTCACCCCTGAAGTCTCCCATGTGAGTAGTAACTAAATATAATCTCTCTTTCAAATGTGTGATGCTATGAGATAACAGTCTGACAGAGGGTCTCTGGCTTGAGAAAAAAGGCTAGATGTGATAAGGACTTTCTTCCTATTCACATCTGTCACTTTTATCTCAATCTGTGAGTGAATGTCTTGTTTTCACCAACTCTCAATTTCAAGATTTTGACTTTTGCTTTGCAAGACGTTCCACTGAAGCTACAGATAAGATGCAACATATAAATACTGATTATCAACTCTTCCCCCAGACAGCAGTAGAGATGTCAACAGCACAGAAAATGGTACATTTTTGGCCTCTTTAAATTTCAGAAACTGTGACCTTTTCCTGTCAATGAAGTGTTTTCTGAAAAGGCATTCTGGTTTTGAAGAGAACAAAGCCCTGTGCTATCCAGTGATACAAGATGAACCAAAGATACACAGGCATTCTGCAGTTCACAGTGAGTTGTGTTGGTTCATCCCATACAGAAGGGGCTTTAAATTCTTTTCTTAAAGAGCCTTCCAGCATGAGGCAAGGCAAAGATCTGAGATACATAAAATGAATACATTATATGTCCTTAAGTGAAAAAAAAAAATCAAAAGCCAGGCACATGCTGTGCCTACTAAGAGCATCTCTGAAAGAGCTGCTTGTTTAGGGCTCAGCCAAGGCCCTTTTGCAATAGCTATACTATTCCTGGGTTCTGATTAAACAGAGCTGGAATTTATAACTGCACTAAATTTTAAATTTTTAGAGTTAACAGACAGCATATAAAAATTTTAGAAACAGGAAGAGTCATTTGTGTCTCCTTCAATCTGTTAACTTTGTCAGCTGCTCAGCCCCACCATGTATATAGGTGGTCTGAGAGACAATTTCAGTAGTTTAACTGGGCAAAGGCTATGAGTGAATAGATAGAGAATATGCAGATCTGCAGTGGCATTTGGTTTTTGCCACTTTTGTTGGTCACAGAGAAGCCAAGAAGGGCCATGTCTGAGTGGTACTTTTAGAGGGGATAGCACTTCCCACAAAAGCACTAAAAGCAACCAGTTCTGTCTTCTCCCCTTCTCTAGGTGTAAAGCCTTTTTTAATACATCCATTTGATTAAACAAAAGGAGAATGCGAACTCATCAAATATATCTATAATATATGAGGGTACAGCTCTCCTAACTTGTGAGAAATTGCATCTCGTTCCACTAAAGGTAGATTTGGCTTCAGGTTTGCCCAGAATACATTTTCCTTCATAATTTCCTTCTATTTAATCAGAGCAGTAGGTTGAGTGGTACAGGAGAAACACTAAACGAGTCTCAACAATGTAGAGAACGTGGTAGCAAGTGTGCCAAAGTGATTATATTTCCTCTTGTCCCCCAAATGTGGCCGTTGCCATCCACCCTCCCAGAATGACCGTGGAGTGGCCATAGCTGCAAACAGTTGAAGTAGACCATAAAGACAGGTCAGAAAGTACACCTGACCATTAGGACTGATCATCTCTAGCAGTAATGCTTGAATTCATAGCTTTCTATACCTTTCTGTGGAAAATATTTATGAAGGAAGAGCCCCCCATCCCAGGAGTTACATTACCTGCATCAGGAATTATCCACTTTGGATGACCACTGCTTTTTGCCTAAAGCACTTATAATTTTCTCCCCCACAACAAAAACAGCATCTTTCAACCCAGCAACAATCTGTACTGAATTCCTTATCTTTTTAAAGTTGCATTTTTCAGGGAATGAGGAAAAGGCAAGAGGAGAAATATGACACACTGTCAATTTTCTCTTGAGCCATATCTGTAATGTACTCCATGGGATCCTGTTACTTTAGGCAACCACTCACAACTGAGGGATTGCAGCATGTCACCTTTAATTGGCATATCATAAAATAGTTTTTAAAGCATTGAACATTAAGGGATTTAAATCTCTTTAATGCTCCTGGATGGAAATTTCTCAAAGTTCATACTGAGGCCAGACCCTCATAATAAATAGAAAGGAAAAAAAGCAATAACACAAATTAATGACATGGATTGTAGAAAAAAATTTGAAACAGTTGAAATAAGATCTCTGAGTTCTGAGGTGCCAAATAAGCCACAGCAGTAAGTGGGAGGAAGGAGAAGAAATTTCTACTCCTTCACCATGCTGAGTTAAAGTCATTTATTATTCTCCAAGGAAAAAAAAAATATATATTTCACTACAGGAAGTTCCAGATGTGTGAAATCAAACCAAGACAAAGGAAGGACCCAATCCAGAAATCAGATTTACATAGACTGAGGTACAGCAATATGAAAACCATGGAGTTGCAGTAACAAAAAGATACTCTGGATAAAAAGAGAGTATTACTATCAGAGATGGCAATATTTAAGATATTTAAGACACTCAGGTATACAATGCAATGTGAACTAGCTAGGGAGATACAGTAGCTGTCTTTTCCTAAATATCCATAATAACCATGTCCAGAAGTCTGTGGGTATCTAAAAATGTACATAGAGATAAGTACTGCAAAAAGTGGCCATTTTAACCAGCTCTAGCATTTTACTAGCAAATTCTTTGTAAGGTAAAATCAAGACCCAAAATGTTTATGTAACTGAGTTTGCTCAATATGCAAATATTTCAAAAATTATGTAGGCAATGTGTGTCATTAATGAAAAGATTCAAAACCTAAAAAGCTCTGCCAGAAGTTGCCACCCCTAAACTTAGCAACGCATATTTGGACTTCAGTGTACCAGGTCTGGCAGGGGGAAGCTGCTTTTGATAGCACATTTCTTCTCTTACCACAGGGTCAGTCAAATAGTCTCTTGTCAGAAATTTTTTATCCAAAGTAAAAGTACTATCACACAAATCTGTTCTTATTTTATTAAATCCTAGCACCTAGCATCCTAGGTGATAATAGTGGGGTTTATTTTTATTGAGATTTACTTTAAGAGTGTTTTGGTAGGTTTTAATGTCTGACCTAAGTATATTTTCATTAGTCTGCAGCCATTACTGTTATGCAAATATTTGAGTGCATGTATTTGTAAGTACCCTTGTAAATTTGCATGGTACATAAGTACAAAAAATTTTCCATAATAAATGCTAGTCCTTCAAGCAGCAAATTCATTCTTGATTATATAAAACATTTTTCTTCATTCTATCTGAATTATTCCAATGACTTAACAACCTCTTTCTGCCTATATTAAAAGGATAAACAAGTATGTCATTTGTAATTACTATAATCTTTCTGTCCAAAATCTTCAGTCACAGCTGACTGAAGTTTTGGAAACTTCAAGTTCAAGAAGAAAATGCCTCCAATTTAGTATTACTTACCCATAACCTATAATTGCCAAATTTCTTTCAGCATCCTGTAGCCAAAGAAACTTATAGTTTTTCCTTTTTACAGACCCTTCCCTAATTCTAAAAAACATTGTCCATAGAATCACAATGACTTCTGTATTTAAGGAAATCCATCTGTTAGCTATTAAATTATTTAAGTGCCCCCTTTTCCCAGACCAAGTTTGCATTTAGCAGGTTTCTGGGAGCAGCACCCGGTGTTCATCCAGACCAAGCCTACAGCTGAGAGTAATAAAAGTCCAGGACTCTGACTAATGGTCTGTAGTGACCAGATCAAGGCTGAATCAACCCTTCTTACACTGAATCAATATTTTAAAGTTAGGCTCAACCTACACCAAAGCCAAACTAGGGACTTCTGTCCTGTCCTTCACAACAGAATGAATGATAACATAAATGGTTTAGATACATGCTTTAAGGGGGGAAAAGAATTTCCTTCAGCACTATGGACTTATACTCAATTTAAAGCTGAAAATTATTATTTCTTAATCAAAATGAATAGAAAAAAAGAAGACCTTTGAAGGCAACTTGTATAGTAAAGAGCCAGATACAAAACTGAAGGGCCTTGATTTTTAAAAGAAAGCTCAAGGGACTGGAAACACTTTAAAAGCAGCCTTTTGAAAGTTATGAAACTCCCTTAAACAACAAAAGATTGCCATGACTGCCAGATCAGATAGAATCAGTGTAGCAAGAAAGTCATCAGCCAAGTATGAAGAGAAGGTTGCACTTTCTGGACACCAAGGCTAGGAAAAATGGAAAGTACATATAAAAAAGTGTAATTTGATAACTGCAGAGAGAATAGCAGAGGGAAGTGGCTGATTGCAGGGTTAGAGCATAGAGAGGGTTGAGTATGGTTGAGATTCTGCCAATCAATAAAATTATAAACTAATAGGTGACTTTGGGCAGATGAGCTTTATTAGCTGAAGATTGGGATGGCTGAAAGTAAAGAGGAAAAAACCATCTTACCTGAAACAAAAAATTTGGCATTCTCTCTAATGTTTCCCTATATAGTCATTGTCAAGTTGTCTTTGAACAACCCTAAAACTATTCTCCCTTTCTGTTTATAAGAGAAAAATAAGAGACCAAATACACACACCTTAGCATAAGATTTCAAGGAAAAATTTATTACTAAGGCACAATAAATGATCTGCAGACAAGGACAGGAAAAAAACACCTGCTGGATGAGAAGCCATAAACAAGGTGTAAGGGCAGGTGATGCCCAGGGCTTTGCTATGCTTCAGAGCAGGGAATATCTGTATTTTTGTTCAGCATCTGCCATGATGATTGTCTCCACAGTAAAAATACTACCATGTATATTAAGGATATCTGATCTTTCACTGGGAGAAAATCTATTTACTCATTGAACTAGGTACCTGAAAAAGTAACACTTCAAAAGTCCTAAAGCCATTCACTCACAGCCTCTAAGGGGGCACATCTGTACTTGGGAGAGACTGAGATACAAAAGCATCTTAATGGAACCTTCCTTCCAGGAAGGGATGTCAGTTTGACTCAAAAAGTCACCCTGGAACTCACAGAAAAACAGGTCTCAGTGCAAAATTTCCTAACAGCAAGTGTGACATAAAGGTTATGTTAGACGGCACCTTTCCTATGCTGGGCTGAAACAATCAGCCTGGGTCACTGCTCTGTGCATCTGTCCCAGCTGGCAGTTTGATATTGCAATGTTTTAAGTTTCTTTCACAAAGGCATTTTGTGTGGGGCTTTGTTGCTCTATTGGGAACAGCGAGAAGAACGACACAGACTCTCTTGTGGAGTTGAACTGGAGAATTTCTTTCGGTTTATTACCTCAAGTCTTTTTTATAGACTGATACTTGAAAAGTACAGAAAAGAAAACTCTTATTGGTTAGTGAACTAACACATCACCATCATTGGTCAGTGGGGTTCACCACCCCTTGACCTTGCAAGAAAACAAGAAACTGACAAACAGCATCTGCAAGGCTGTTTTCTATCTCTGAGGATTGTTTTAATTCCTCCTTATGATTTCCCATGGCAACTTTCTCAGGCAAGAATGAGAAAGTTATGAAGCCTTCTATTCCACAGGCACTGTGCTCCCTGCTTCCATAGTTAGCATCCATAGGGCTTTGCTGAGGCTTCCATAGTTTAGTGCACACCAGTTTGTTGTGGAAGAGCAGCTGTTGAGTAAAAAACCCAAGCTGTACAGTAGGGGAACAAGGATATTTAGCAGAAATTTCCTGGAATAACATACATGCATGGCTAGCAAGCTTTACAAAGCTTCCACAAATTTAAAAAATACAGTTACTGCTTGCATGAGCTCTGCAGGTGTTACAGTGGCCTGACTGAAGGCCATTGTACACTGGGGAGACAGCAATCCCCAGTTACAGCAATTTCCCTGAGCAGTCAGGCCCATGCTGTGCAGTGCAGTGCTGTTCTGCAAGCCCAGCCTGGCCTTCAGGCAGTGTTGTGCTGCACAAAGGTTTTGGATGAAGGATAAACTCAGCCAGTTTGCTACAGAGGAGCCTGAAGGCAGCTCCCACTTGGTATCAGGGATTAGGCCATCAGCCTAACCCCACCTTTCTCTAAAAGTATAACAAATTTGACAGTAGAAATTATCAATAGGGCATTTTCTTGTAGAAAAATTCTATAATAGCTCAAATGATCAAAATGGACCAACCTCTTCCACAGGCAAGGTCTGCACTTTGTGGATCTGAGGCCCCTTCAACTGCACAAATTTGTGGTCTTTGACATCTAAAGGGATGTGATATTATCAATACTACTTTATCCTCCAGGGTTAGTGCTAATAAATAGTATTTTAAAAGATTCCTTATGGAGTCTGAGTGCTTTTCTTACAAGGATCACAATGGACCATCACCTCTAGAACAGGAAGCCTTTTTGATTCTCAAAATGAATAAAATAACCACATCCTTTTTAAAAGACACAGAACAGTTATGCTCTGCCCTTGTCAGCTGCAATCTATATTTAAGAACAGCGATGCATAGGAGACTTTACATGGATTGTTAAGACAGGGTTCCTCTTCTCTATAATCAGCCCTCTAAAACTTAGTCATATCGCCTTAAGCCTAAGCTTAGATTCTCTATATATTGAGAAAAGAGGTGATTCAATAGCAATCCATCCTTTTTCAAGACAGGTATCCAAAAAAGGCAAAATTAAGCTTCCTCTGCAGGTGCACTTAGTGTGTCCATAGCAGCCAAGCCTGATCTTCAGCCAGCTTAAACTTCATATCTGTTATGGGTTCAAAGTTAAGTGAGGTGATTTACACTGCTAGTTGGTACTGACAGAGGAGTAAGTTTTTGTTGGAAGCAAAATGTTTGCAACATAATAAATACAAGATAACTATATACATCCATTTATATATATATTTATATTTAAAAAATCCAACATTCTGAGAAATACTTTTGTCCATCTGATACTGCTGCCTTCATTCACTTTGTTACACCCTCGGTTTGCTCCACAGTTTTGCAGATGTTTCTCCAGGTAGCAATGAATGATTCACCTGCTGACACAGACCAGAGAGAATCACTGCCCTGTTGGTGACTGGTACAACCCACCTCCTGTTTATGCCCTCTCACACTCTCTGTACGCTTGCAGGAATTTGTTGTGACCTCGAGAACTGATTATAAATCAGTGACAGGTAGTTGATCTATCAGGACACCACAGCTCTCTGCAAGGAGCAGGCTGCTTGAGGTAAGGCTGCTGTAAAGTTATTGCAGACAGAGCTGAAGATAAAGGAGTAGAAAAGCACAAACAAATTGTGGTGCAACGGGAATTTATTTGCATAGAATGCATTTGCTACCATGTCATGTTGATGACATGGGTCTCAAGTTTGTGCCCCAGCTCAAATTTTTTCAAGCTTTTGCAAGCCTTTAAGTACACTCTTGTCTGGAGATTGGAATGGAGATGCACCACTGGGGAAGTACAGGCCTTGGGATGCAGGGGGGAAAGGAAAGCCCCTGAGCACTGACCTTTGGAGGCTTTACAGACACAGAGTAGAGCCTCCTTGGCTGGAGGAACTTGATGATGAATTCAAGCAAAGCTACCTGAAG